ACCTTCCCTACCCTTCACCACCTTCCCTACCCTTCACCACCTTCCCTACCCTTCACCACCTTCCCTACCCTTCACTACCTTCCCTACCCTTCACTACCTTCCCTATCTTTCACCACCTTCCCTACCCTTCACCACCTTCCCTACCCTTCACTACCTCCCCTACCCTTCACTACCTTCCCTACCCTTCACTACCTTCCCTACCCTTCACTACCTTCCCCTTCTACCTTCCCTACCCTTCACTACCTTCCCTACCCTTCACTACCTTCCCTACCCTTCACTACCTTCCCTACCCTTCACTACCTTCCCTACCCTTCACTACCTTCCCTACCCTTCACTACCTTCCCTACCCTTCACTACCTTCCCTACCCTTCACTACCTTACCTTCCCTTCACTACCTCCCCTACCCTTCACTACCTTCCCTGCCCTTCACTACCTTCCCTACCCTTCACCTTCCTACCCTTCACTACCTTCCCTACCCTTCACTACCTTCCCTACCCCCTACCCTACCTTCCCTACCCTTCACTACCTTCCCTACCCTTCACTACCTTCCCTACCCTTCACTACCTTCCCTACCCTTCACTACCTTCCCTACCCTTCACTACCTTCCCTACCCTTCACTACCTTCCCTACCCTTCACAACCTTCCCTACCCTTCACCTTCCCTACCCTTCACTACCTTCCCTACCCTTCACTACCTTCCCTGCCCTTCACTACCTTCCCTGCCCTTCACTACCTTCCCTACCCTTCACTACCTTCCCTGCCCTTCACTACCTTCCCTGCCCTTCACCACCTTCCCTACCCTTCACCACCTTCCCTACCCTTCACCACCTTCCCTACCCTTCACTACCTTCCCTACCCTTCACCACCTTCCCTACCCTTCACCACCTTCCCTACCCTTCACTACCTTCCCTACCCTTCACCACCTTCCCTACCCTTCACTACCTTCCCTACCCTTCACCACCTTCCCTACCCTTCACCACCTTCCCTACCCTTCACCACCTTCCCTACCCTTCACCACCTTCCCTACCCTTCACTACCTTCCCTACCCTTCACCACCTTCCCTACCCTTCACCACCTTCCCTACCCTTCACTACCTTCCCTACCCTTCACTAGCTTCCCTACCCTTCACCACCTTCCCTACCCTTCACTACCTTCCCTACCCTTCACCACCTTCCCTACCCTTCACTACCTTCCCTACCCTTCACCACCTTCCCTACCCTTCACCACCTCCCCTACCCTTCACTACCTTCCCTGCCCTTCACTATCTTCCCTACCCTTCACTACCTTCCCTACCCTTCACTACCTTCCCTACCCTTCACCACCTTCCCTGCCCTTCACCACCTTCCCTACCCTTCACCACCTTCCCTGCCCTTCACTACCTTCCCTACCCTTCACCACCTTCCCTACCCTTCACTACCTTCCCTACCCTTCACCACCTTCCCTACCCTTCACCACCTTCCCTACCCTTCACCACCTTTCCTACCCTTCACCACCTCTTCCCTACTATTCACCACCTTCCCTACCTTTCACCACCTTTCCTACCCTTCACCACCTTCCCTACCCTTCACCACCTTCCCTACCCTTCACCACCTTCCCTACCCTTCACCACCTTCCCTACCCTTCACCACCTTCCCTACCCTTCACCACCTTCCCTACCCTTCACCACCTTCCCTACCCTTCACCACCTTCCCTACCCTTCACCACCTTCCCTACCCTTCACCACCTTCCCTACCCTTCACCACCTTCCCTACCCTTCACCACCTTCCCTACCCTTCACCACCTTCCCTACCCTTCACCACCTTCCCTACCCTTCACCACCTTCCCTACCCTTCACCACCTTCCCTACCCTTCACCACCTTCCCTACCCTTCACCACCTTCCCTACCCTTCACCACCTTCCCTACCCTTCACCACCTTCCCTACCCTTCACCACCTGCCCTACCCTTCACCACCTTCCCTACCCTTCACCACCTTCCCTACCCTTCACCACCTTCCCTACCCTTCACCACCTTCCCTACCCTTCACCACCTTCCCTACCCTTCACCACCTTCCCTACCCTTCACCACTTCCCTACCCTTCACCACCTTCCCTGCCCTTCACCACCTTCCCTACCCTTCACCACCTTCCCTACCCTTCACCACCTTCCCTACCCTTCACCACCTTCCCTACCCTTCACCACCTTCCCTACCCTTCACCACCTTCCCTACCCTTCACCACCTTCCCTACCCTTCACCACCTTCCCTGCCCTTCACCACCTTCCCTACCCTTCACCACCTTCCCTACCCTTCACCACCTTCCCTACCCTTCACCACCTTCCCTACCCTTCACCACCTTCCCTGCCCTTCACCACCTTCCCTGCCCTTCACCACCTTCCCTACCCCTTCACCACCACCTTCCCTACCCTTCACCACCTTCCCTACCCTTCACCACCTTCCCTGCCCTTCACCACCTTCCCTACCCTTCACCACCTTCCCTACCCTTCACCACCTTCCCTACCCTTCACCACCTTCCCTACCCTTCACCACCTTCCCTACCCTTCACCACCTTCCCTGCCCTTCACCACCTTCCCTACCCTTCACCACCTTCCCTACCCTTCACCACCTTCCCTGCCCTTCACCACCTTCCCTACCCTTCACCACCTTCCCTACCCTTCACCACCTTCCCTACCCTTCACCACCTTCCCTACCCTTCACCACCTTCCCTACCCTTCACCACCTTCCCTACCCTTCACCACCTTCCCTGCCCTTCACCACCTTCCCTGCCCTTCACCACCTTCCCTACCCTTCACCACCTTCCCTACCCTTCACCACCTTCCCTACCCTTCACCACCTTCCCTACCCTTCACCACCTTCCCTACCCTTCACCACCTTCCCTACCCTTCACCACCTTCCCTACCCTTCACCACCTTCCCTACCCTTCACCACCTTCCCTACCCTTCACCACCTTCCCTACCCTTCACCACCTTCCCTACCCTTCACCACCTTCCCTACCCTTCACCACCTTCCCTACCCTTCACCACCTTCCCTACCCTTCACCACCTTCCCTACCCTTCACCACCTTCCCTACCCTTCACCACCTTCCCTACCCTTCACCACCTTCCCTACCCTTCACTACCTTCCCTGCCCTTCACCACCTTCCCTACCCTTCACCACCTTCCCTACCCTTCACCACCTTCCCTGCCCTTCACCACCTTCCCTGCCCTTCACCACCTTCCCTACCCTTCACTACCTTCCCTGCCCTTCACCACCTTCCCTGCCCTTCACCACCTTCCCTACCCTTCACCACCTTCCCTACCCTTCACCCTTCACCTTCCCTACCCTTCACCACCTTCCCTACCCTTCACCACCTTCCCTACCCTTCACCACCTTCCCTACCCTTCACCACCTTCCCCCTTCCCCTTCACCATACCCTTCACCACCTTCCCTACCCTTCACCACCTTCCCTACCCTTCACCACCTTCCCTACCCTTCACCACCTTCCCTACCCTTCACCACCTTCCCTACCCTTCACCACCTTCCCTGCCCTTCACCACCTTCCCTACCCTTCACCACCTTCCCTACCCTTCACCACCTTCCCTACCCTTCACCACCTTCCCTACCCTTCACCACCTTCCCTACCCTTCACCACCTTCCCTGCCCTTCACTACCTTCCCTGCCCTTCACCACCTTCCCTACCCTTCACCACCTTCCCTACCCTTCACCACCTTCCCTACCCTTCACCACCTTCCCTACCCTTCACCACCTTCCCTACCCTTCACCACCTTCCCTACCCTTCACCACCTTCCCTACCCTTCACCACCTTCCCTACCCTTCACCACCTTCCCTGCCCTTCACCACCTTCCCTACCCTTCACCACCTTCCCTACCCTTCACCACTACACACTGCCTTCATAAGGCAATCTAACATTAAAACACTTATTAATCACTTATAAAAATATAAGCTAGATGAATCTCAATGAAAATGGAGTCTACAATTTAGCGAGTTTTGACATTATTGTCTTTTGTTATATCATGTAAGGGGGGGGGGGGGATAGGGGTCGGGGACAACTTGCCTATGTCCATCCCCGGACAATGACCAGTCACCCTGCAAAGTTTCGTGAGGCTAGCCCCGAGAATCTGGCCTTCATCTTCGAACAGATTCAGAGACGGAGAGATAGGCAGACAAACTGACAACCCAATTGGTCTATCATGCCTCAACTATCACCACTAGGCCTACCCTGCCCCAGTTAGCTCCTAGCCAAGACTTAACAGGCCTTGGGTCGTCTAGTCTGACATTAACAGGCTAAAGTAGTTAATTTAAATATCAATTTGAATGCAATTTGTGTACAATATGAAGTGTTTATTTTCTCAACATTTATATCACTAATATAACAAGTCATTAAATATAATATTTTAAATATAATATTAATAACAACATTAAATATAATATTTAACCTGTTTTATATATATATATATATATATATATATATATATATATATATATATATATATATATATATATATATATATATATATATATATATATATATATATATATATATATATATATATATATATATATATATATATATAAAACAGGTTAAAAGAGAGCTAATAAAAACTGGGAAGTATGAGAAACATAGACAGTTCCGTGCCTTCCTTCAGCTATGGAGCTGAAGCGGTCTTGCTTCATGCAGGTCGGCGTTCAATCCCCCGACTGCCCGAGTGCTTGGGCACCATTCCTCCCCGTGTCCCATCCCAAAACCTAATCCTGACCCCCTTCCAAGTGCCTTATAGTCATAATGACGGCACTTTCTGCTGCTAATTCCCTTCCCTTCCACCAACATGGACGGTTCCGGTATCAGACGCGTGCTATCTTAGCAACAACGGGGGCAGGGGGGGGGCTAATGATATCGGGCAGCATCGTTGCAAAGTTGCCAACATGTGGCAACATTGCCATCTTCAACCTCCTGCAATGGGTGTCGTTGAGACTCGTTATAGCGGCCTTGGGTTAGGAGAGTGAAGTATTTATACCGAGGGAGTGGTGCCGTCTGGATCAGTTACTGTGCAGGCCTGGCCGCACTACGGGCAGACATGGTTGGGCACGCCTCCTGCCTCCTGGTAGGTGGCTTCCGTTCCTGTTTGTGTGGTGACGTGTGTGGGGGTGTGTGGTGTGACGTGTGGGGGTGTGTGGTGACGTGTGGGGGTGTGTGTGGTGACGTGTGGGGGTGTGTGGTGACGTGTGGGGGTGTGTGTGTGTGACGTGTGGGGGGTGTGTGTGGTGACGTGTGGGGGTGTGTGTGGTGACGTGTGTGGGGGTGTGTGGTGACGTGTGGGGGTGTGTGTGGTGACGTGTGGGGGTGTGTGGTGACGTGTGGGGGTGTGTGGTGACGTGTGGGGTGTGTGTGTGGTGACGTGTGTGGGGTGTGTGGTGACGTGTGTGGGGGTGTGTGGTGACGTGTGGGGGTGTGTGGTGACGTGTGTGGGGGTGTGTGTGTGTGTGACGTGTGTGGGGGTGTGTGGGGGTGTGTGGGGGTGTGTGGTGACGTGTGTGGGGTGTGTGTGTGTGTGACGTGTGGGGGTGTGTGTGGTGACGTGTGTGGGGGTGGGGGTGTGTGGTGACGTGTGGGGGTGTGTGTGGTGACGTGTGGGGGTGTGTGGGGGTGTGTGGTGACGTGTGTGGGGGTGTGTGGTGACGTGTGTGGGGGTGTGTGGTGACGTGTGTGGGGGTGTGTGTGGTGACGTGTGGGGGTGTGTGGTGACGTGTGTGGGGGTGTGTGGTGACGTGTGGGGGTGTGTGGTGACGTGTGTGGGGGTGTGTGTGGTGACGTGTGTGGGGGTGTGTGTGGTGACGTGTGTGGGGTGTGTGTGGTGACGTGTGGGGGTGTGTGTGGTGACGTGTGTGGGGGTGTGTGTGTGACGTGTGTGGGGGTGTGTAGTGACGTGTGTGGGTGGTGTGGTGACGTGTGTGGGGGTGTGTGGTGACGTGTGGGGGTGTGTGGTGACGTGTGTGGGGTGTGTGGTGACGTGTGGGGGGTGTGTGGTGACGTGTGTGGGGGTGTGTGGTGACCTGTGGTGGTGTGTGGTGACCTGTGGGGGTGTGTGGGGGTGTGTGGTGACCTGTGGGGGTGTGTGGGGGGTGTGGTGACGTGTGGGGGTGTGTGTGACGTGTGGGGGTGTGTGGTGACCTGTGGGGGTGTGTGGTGACGTGTGGGGGTGTGTGGTGACGTGTGGGGGTGTGTGTGGTGACGTGTGGTGGTGTGTGGTGACCTGTGGGGGTGTGTGGTGACGTGTGGGGGTGTGTGGTGACGTGTGTGGGTGTGTGTGGTGACGTGTGGGGGTGTGTGGTGACGTGTGGTGGTGTGTGTGGTGACATGTGGGGGTGTGTGTGGTGACGTATGGGGTGTGTGGGTGACGTGTGGTGGTGTGTGTGGTGACGTGTGGGGGTGTGTGTGTGGTGACGTGTGGGGTGTGTGTGGTGACGTGTGGGGGTGTGTGTGGTGACGTGTGGGGGTGTGTGGTGACGTGTGTGGGGGTGTGTGGTGACGTGTGTGGGGGTGTGTGGTGACGTGTGGGGTGTGTGGGGGTGTGGGTGACGTGTGTGGGGGTGTGTGGTGACGTGTGGGGGTGTGTGGTGACGTGTGGGGGTGTGTGGTGACGTGTGTGGGGGGTGTGTGGTGACGTGTGGGGGTGTGTGGTGACGTGTGGTGGGTGTGTGGTGACGTGTGGGGGTGTGTGGTGACGTGTGGGGGTGTGTGGTGACGTGTGGGGGTGTGTGGTGACGTGTGGGGGTGTGTGGTGACGTGTGGGGGTGTGTGGTGACGTGTGGGGGTGTGTGGTGACGTGTGGGGGTGTGTGTGGTGACGTGTGGGGGTGTGTGGTGACCTGTGGTGGGGTGTGTGGTGACGTGTGGGGGTGTGTGGTGACGTGTGGGGGGTGTGTGTGGTGACGTATGGGGGTGTGTGGTGACGTGTGGTGGTGTGTGTGGTGACGTGTGGGGGTGTGTGTGGTGACGTGTGGGGGTGTGTGGTGACGTGTGGGGGTGTGTGTGGTGACGTGTGGGGGTGTGTGTGGTGACGTGTGGGGGTGTGTGTGGTGACGTGTGGGGGTGTGTGTGGTGACGTGTGGGGGTGTGTGGGTGTGGGGGTGTGTGGTGACGTGTGTGGGGGTGTGTGGTGACGTGTGTGGGGGTGTGTGGTGACGTGTGTGTGGGGGTGTGTGGTGACGTGTGGGGGTGTGTGGTGACGTGTGGGGGTGTGTGGTGACGTGTAGGGGTGTGTGGTGACGTGTGTGGGGTGTGTGGTGACGTGTGGGGGTGTGTGGTGACGTGTGGGGGGTGTGTGGTGACGTGTGTGGGGGTGTGTGGTGACGTGTGGGTGTGTGTGGTGACGTGTGGGGGGTGTGTGGTGACGTGTGGGGGTGTGTGGTGACGTGTGGGGGGTGTGTGGTGACGTGTGGGGGGTGTGTGGTGACCTGTGGGGGTGTGTGGTGACGTGTGGGGGTGTGTGGTGACGTGTGGGGGTGTGTGTGTGACGTGTGTGGGTGTGTGGTGACGTGTGGTGGTGTGTGGTGACGTGTGGGGGGTGTGTGGTGACGTGTGTGGGGGTGTGTGGTGACGTGTGGGGGTGTGTGGTGACGTGTGGGGGTGTGTGGTGACGTGTGTGGGTGTGTGGTGACGTGTGGTGGGTGTGTGGTGACGTGTGGGGGGTGTGTGGTGACGTGTGTGGGGGTGTGTGGTGACGTGTGGGGGTGTGTGGTGACGTGTGGGTGACGTGTGTGGTGACGTGTAGGGTGTGTGGGGATGTGTGTGGTGACGTGTGTGGGTGTGTGGTGACGTGTGGGGGTGTGTGGTGACGTGTAGGGGTGTGTGTGGTGACGTGTGTGGGGGGTGTGGTGACGTGTGGGGGTGTGTGGTGACGTGTAGTGACGTGTGGCGGCCTAGTCAGTATCTATTACCAGTTTACGAGCCAGGTCGTAAACTGCGAGATCTCTCTCCACCCCAAGACGACCTCGTAGCGATCCAAAGCTTAATAACTCCTTAATAAACGTAAACAAACTCCCCCATAATTACGGAAAGATGCACAGGTCTCGTAAGTGTGAAGGCATAAGCTAGAGGTTGTTGAATACAAAGACCCCCGGAACACCCGGAAAAAGACCGCCCCATTGTAAAAGACTTCCCATTGTAAAAGACTGCCCATTGTAAAAGACTGCCCATTGTAAAAGACTGCCCATTGTAAAAGACTGCCCATTGTAAAAGACTGCCCATTGTAAAAGACTTCCCATTGTAAAAGACTGCCCATTGTAAAAGACTGCCCATTGTAAAAGACTGCCCATTGTAAAAGACTGCCCATTGTAAAAGACTGCCCATTGTAAAAGACTGCCCATTGTAAAAGACTGCCCATTGTAAAAGACTGCCCATTGTAAAAGACTGCCCATTGTAAAAGACTGCCCATTGTAAAAGACTGCCCATTGTAAAAGACTGCCCATTGTAAAAGACTGCCCATTGTAAAAGACTGCCCATTGTAAAAGACTGCCCATTGTAAAAGACTGCCCATTGTAAAAGACTGCCCATTGTAAATGCCCATTGTAAAAGACTGCCCATTGTAAAAGACTGCCCATTGTAAAGACTTCCCATTGTAAAAGACTGCCCATTGTAAAAGACTGCCCATTGTAAAAGACTGCCCATTGTAAAAGACTGCCCATTGTAAAAGACTGCCCATTGTAAAAGACTGCCCATTGTAAAAGACTGCCCATTGTAAAAGACTGCCCATTGTAAAAGACTGCCCATTGTAAAAGACTTCCCATTGTAAAAGACTGCCCATTGTAAAAGACTGCCCATTGTAAAAGACTGCCCATTGTAAAAGACTGCCCATTGTAAAAGACTGCCCATTGTAAAAGACTGCCCATTGTAAAAGACTTCCCATTGTAAAAGACTGCCCATTGTAAAAGACTGCCCATTGTAAAAGACTGCCCATTGTAAAAGACTGCCCATTGTAAAAGACTGCCCATAATGGAGATCTCCCTTTGTAGCTGAGATGATGTAGATCTTAATTCGAGCGAGGGTGTGCCAGGAGGAGCTGTGGTTCACCTTCACTGACAAGCTAGTTAGACGAGGCCAGGTGTGTCCTCCAGGCCAGGTGTGTCCTCCAGGCCAGGTGTGTCCTCCCGGCCAGGTGTGTCCTACAGGCCAGGTGTGTCCTCCAGGCCAGGTGTGTCCTCGAGGCCAGGTGTGTCCTCCAGGCCAGGTGTGTCCTCCAGGCCAGGTGTGTCCTCCAGGCCAGGTGTGTCCTCCAGGCCAGGTGTGTCCTCCAGGCCAGGTGTGTCCTCCAGGCCAGGTGTGTCCTCCAGGCCAGGTGTGTCCTCCAGGCCAGGTGTGTCCTCGAGGCCAGGTGTGTCCTCCAGGCCAGGTGTGTCCTCCAGGCCAGGTGTGTCCTCCAGGCCAGGTGTGTCCTCCAGGCCAGGTGTGTCCTCCAGGCCAGGTGTGTCCTCCAGGCCAGGTGTGTCCTCTAGGCCAGGTGTGTCCTCCAGGCCAGGTGTGTCCTCCAGGCCAGGTGTGTCCTCCAGGCCAGGTGTGTCCTCCAGGCCAGGTGTGTCCTCCAGGCCAGGTGTGTCCTCCAGGCCAGGTGTGTCCTTCAGGCCAGGTGTGTCCTCCAGGCCAGGTGTGTCCTCCAGGCCAGGTGTGTCCTCCAGGCCAGGTGTGTCCTCCAGGCCAGGTGTGTGGGTTACCATTTTCTATATGCGGAACCAAGACTAACTTATCAACCTCACTTAAATAGGTCCAATTTATTCCTCAGTACTGCCCAACTTAGTTAAAATTGGACAGATATCGAATAACAGATAAAGTAATTATTCTAATATATCAAAATCGTCAAATTTATCAATTGGCTGTTAAAGATAAGAGAGAGACAGATATGTCTCTCGATGCCTTGCCATCTTGTACACATTTAGGAACAATATAAATTAACATTCCAGATATCGAGAAACATCATTTGCATACAGGACTGACAACATGTATCCTTGTTGAGGACTTGTCACGTCCAAGGTGAGCACGGTTGGTCGGTGATTCATAGTGGTGGGGTGTCACTGGCAACACAACACTGTCTCACTAACAAGTCCAACACCTGGGAACATTAGTCTTACTAACAAGTCCAACACCTTGGAACACTAGTCATACTAACAAGTCCAACACCTGAGAACACTAGTCATACTAACAAGTCCAACACCTGAGAACACTAGTCTCACTAACAAGTCCAACACCTGAGAACACTAGTCTCACTAACAAGTCCAACACCTGAGAACACTAGTCATACTAACAAGTCCAACTCCTGAGAACACTAGTCTTACTAACAAGTCCAACACCTGAGAACACTAGTCATACTAACAAGTCCAACACCTGAGAACACTAGTCTTACTAACAAGTCCAACACCTTGGAACACTAGTCTCACTAACAAGTCCAACACCTGAGAACGCTAGAGTAGACTTACTAACAAGTCCAACACCTGAGAACACTAGAGTAGTCTCACTAACAAGTCCAACACCTGGGAACGCTAGAGTAGTCTCACTAACAAGTCCAACACCTGAGAACACTAGAGTAGTCTCACTAACAAGTTCAACACCTAAGAACGCTAGAGTAGTCTCACTAACAAGTCCAACACCTTAGAACGCTAGAGTAGTCTCACTAACAAGTCCAACACCTGAGAACGCTAGAGTAGACTTACTAACAAGTCCAACACCTGAGAACACTAGAGTAGTCTCACTAACAAGTCCAACACCTGGGAACGCTAGAGTAGTCTCACTAACAAGTCCAACACCTGAGAACACTAGAGTAGTCTCACTAACAAGTCCAACACCTAAGAACGCTAGAGTAGTCTCACTAACAAGTCCAACACCTTAGAACGCTAGAGTAGTCTCACTAACAAGTCCAACACCTTAGAACGCTAGAGTAGTCTCACTAACAAGTCCAACACCTGAGAACACTAGAGTAGTCTCACTAACAAGTCCAACACCAGAGAACACTAGAGTAGTCTCACTAACAAGTCCAACACCTGAGAACACTAGAGTAGTCTCACTAACAAGTCCAACACCTTAGAACGCTAGAGTAGTCTCACTAACAAGTCCAACACCTTAGAACGCTAGAGTAGTCTCACTAACAAGTCCAACACCTGAGAACGCTAGAGTAGACTTACTAACAAGTCCAACACCTGAGAACACTAGAGTAGTCTCACTAACAAGTCCAACACCTAAGAACGCTAGAGTAGTCTCACTAACAAGTCCAACACCTGAGAACACTAGAGTAGACTTACTAACAAGTCCAACACCTGGGAACGCTAGAGTAGTCTCACTAACAAGTCCAACACCTGAGAACACTAGAGTAGTCTCACTAACAAGTCCAACACCTAAGAACGCTAGAGTAGTCTCACTAACAAGTCCAACACCTTAGAACGCTAGAGTAGTCTCACTAACAAGTCCAACACCTGAGAACGCTAGAGTAGACTTACTAACAAGTCCAACACCTGAGAACACTAGAGTAGACTTACTAACAAGTCCAACACCTGGGAACGCTAGAGTAGTCTCACTAACAAGTCCAACACCTGAGAACACTAGAGTAGTCTCACTAACAAGTCCAACACCTAAGAACGCTAGAGTAGTCTCACTAACAAGTCCAACACCTTAGAACGCTAGAGTAGTCTCACTAACAAGTCCAACACCTGAGAACACTAGAGTAGTCTCACTAACAAGTCCAACACCTGAGAACACTAGAGTAGTCTCACTAACAAGTCCAACACCTGAGAACACTAGAGTAGTCTCACTAACAAGTCCAACACCTAAGAACGCTAGAGTAGTCTCACTAACAAGTCCAACACCTGAGAACACTAGAGTAGACTTACTAACAAGTCCAACACCTGGGAACGCTAGAGTAGTCTCACTAACAAGTCCAACACCTGGGAACGCTAGAGTAGTCTCACTAACAAGTCCAACACCTGAGAACGCTAGAGTAGTCTCACTAGCAAGTCCAACACCTGAGAACGCTAGAGTAGTCTCACTAACAAGTCCAACACCTGGGAACACTAGAGTAGTCTCACTAACAAGTCCAACACCTGAGAACACTAGAGTAGTCTCACTAACAAGTCCAACACCTAAGAACGCTAGAGTAGTCTCACTAACAAGTCCAACACCTGAGAACGCTAGAGTAGTCTCACTAACAAGTCCAACACCTGGGAACACTAGAGTAGTCTCACTAACAAGTCCAACACCTGAGAACGCTAGAGTAGACTTACTAACAAGTCCAACACCTGAGAACACTAGAGTAGTCTCACTAACAAGTCCAACACCTGAGAACACTAGAGTAGTCTCACTAACAAGTCCAACACCTAAGAACGCTAGAGTAGTCTCACTAACAAGTCCAACACCTGAGAACGCTAGAGTAGTCTCACTAACAAGTCCAACACCTTAGAACGCTAGAGTAGTCTCACTAACAAGTCCAACACCTGAGAACGCTAGAGTAGTCTCACTAACAAGTCCAACACCTGGGAACACTAGAGTAGTCTCACTAACAAGTCCAACACCTGAGAACACTAGAGTAGTCTCACTAACAAGTCCAACACCTGGGAACACTAGAGTAGTCTCACTAACAAGTCCAACACATGAGAACACTAGAGTAGTCTCACTAACAAGTCCAACACCTGGGAACGCTAGAGTAGTCTCACTAACAAGTCCAACACCTGGGAACGCTAGAGTAGTCTCACTAACAAGTCCAACACCTGAGAACACTAGAGTAGTCTCACTAACAAGTCCAACACCTGGGAACACTAGAGTAGTCTCACTAACAAGTCCAACACCTGAGAACACTAGAGTAGTCTCACTAACAAGTCCAACACCTGGGAACGCTAGAGTAGTCTCACTAACAAGTCCAACGCCTGAGAACGCTAGAGTAGTCTCACTAACAAGTCCAACACCTGGGAACGCTAGAGTAGTCTCACTAACAAGTCCAACACCTGGGAACGCTAGAGTAGTCTCACTAACAAGTCCAACACCTGAGAACGCTAGAGTAGTCTCACTAGCAAGTCCAACACCTGAGAACGCGAGAGTAGTCTTAACAAGTCCAACACATTACATGATATATTATGCTACATAAAGACTATAAAACCCTTGAGTGCGTCGCCCTGTATACATGAGCATATCTGCCCGGGGATTTAGTTGTCACGTTTACCTGTTGATGATTTCGAGAGTTGTTCTCCCGCGAGCTCTGAGCGAGATCGCGAGCGAGACAATCTGGTGATTGTATATAGGACTGGTCTGGTGATTGTCTGGTCATACTGTCTCTCTGACGTGGGAATATTGTTTCGTACGGTATCTGGGATTGTCATAAGGGATCGTGTTCTTGAAGTTTGGTCGACTTTTGTAGGAATTCCAGGCTCTTGGCGTCACTGGCTGCAGCTCAGTTCTCATACCCAGTGAACAAATCCACAAGGGCCGTGACGAGGGCTCGAACCTATGTCCGAGAGGATCCCAGACGCTGCCTTAATCGACTGAGCTACGAAACTCGTCACGGCCCTTGTGGATTTGTTCATGTGATCCATCACGCTATTGTGATTTCTGTGTGTAATCTCATACCCAAACTTGGGTCGGTCACTCAGCCAGGATTTTTCAAGTATTTAAGCACCGGTTTACGAAACATGTACATCTTTCCTTATAAATGGCCTGTTTTTTTGTAGATCAACAGTTGAAGTTAACCAACATTATAAGATTGGTATGTGATTATCAAACATGTGAGCATCAAAGTCATCTAATTATCAGATTACCAGATAATTACTATAAGTACAGCTACAATTAGCTGTGCTTATACTAATTATCTGGTCTCTCCAGATTATGTATCAACAAGATTGTTTACATTTATCGAAGGTGTTAAAAACGAAACTACGTTTTTTTTAATAGTAAACCAATATAAACACTAAACCCACCGTCGGTGTACTTTCAGACTGTTTTAGCAGCAGCGACTTTGACTTGGGCCGCCCCGGGGGCCTTCTTCCTCGATGAGAACGTTATTGAGAGAGAGACCTTGCCAACTGTTGACGTCACAATCCCGGCAGTCACAAACGACCCTTCGCAGGTCAAGGAAGACATACCATCGCCGGCACCGGACGAGAGCCCTATAATCCTCGGAGCAACGGCTCCTTTAGCAAACACATCTTCACCAGCCCGTGACTCAACAGAAAGTGACTCTCCCACAGTATCTGAAGAGTCAGCACCAGCCACCAACACTTCAACACCCCCTGGGAGCATCTTAGACATCGACCAAGCGCCCCTTTCTACCATCCATGTTAATGGTGAATCACCCACCATCCCTGGTGATACCTTGACTCCTGTCACAGGGATACCCTTGCCACTTGAGACTCTTCCTGAAGTACTCTTGGAGGCTGTGCCAGGGCCCGTCCTTGGAGCACCACTGGAGGATGGTCTTCAACACTCACCTGAGGCACAACTGGTCCAGTCACCAGTGAGTGGAATCCAGTCTCTCGGTGACTCACAGTTAGCTTCAGATGTTGCCTCGGAAACTGACTCTGCCTCCAGCAGCTTTCTGGCAGATGATGCAGAATTAGCTGACAGGACTCCATTGGGGGCTGTTGTAGCAGTTGCTGAAGAGTCTCGTCCATTGCCTGCAACCGAAGTTATGCAGGAGGTTGGCCCATCACATCTACCTGGTGTCCCATTAGAGCTTGACCCATCACCTTTGCCTGGTGTCCCATTAGAGCTTGACCCAACACCGGAGTCTGTGGTGCTGTTGGAGGCTGACCCAACACCTGAAACTGTGGTGCCATTGAAGGTTGACCCAACACCTGAAACTGTGGTGCCATTGAAGGTTGACCCAACACCTGAAACTGTGGTACCATTGGAGGTTGACCCAACACCTGAAACTGTGGTGCCATTGGAGGTTGACCCAACACCTGAAACTGTGGTACTATTGGAGGCTGACCCAACACCTGAGTCTGTGGTAACATTGGAGGCTGACCCAACACCTGAATCTGTGGTACCATTGAAGGTTGACCCAACACCTGGAACTGTGGTACCATTGGAGGTTGACCCAACACCTGAAACTGTGGTGCCATTGAAGGTTGACCCAACACCTGAAACTGTGGTACCATTGGAGGTTGACCCAACACCTGAAACTGTGGTACCATTGAAGGTTGACCCAACACCTGAAACTGTGGTACCATTGGAGGCTGACCCAACACCTGAATCTGTGGTACCATTGGAGGCTGACCCAACACCTGAATCTGTGGTACCATTGGAGGCTGACCCAACACCTGAAACTGTAGTGGTGTTAGAGGTTGACCCAACACCTGAATCTGTGGTACCATTGGAGGTTGACCCAACACCTGAATCTGTGGTACCATTGGAGGTTGACCCAACACCTGAATCTGTGGTACCATTGGAGGTTGACCCAACACCTGAAACTGTGGTACCATTGGAGGCTGACCCAACACCTGAAACTGTAGTGGTGTTGGAGGTTGACCAAACACCTGAATCTGTGGTACCATTGGAGGCTGACCCAACACCTGAAACTGTAGTGGTGTTAGAGGTTGATCCAACACCTGAATCTGTGGTACCATTGGAGGTTGACCCAACACCTGAAACTGTGGTACCATTGGAGGCTGACCCAACACCTGAAACTTTGGTGGTGTTGGAGGCTGACCCAACACCTGAAACTGCGGTAGTGTTGGAGGTTGACCCAACACCTGAGTCTGATGTGCTGTTGGAGGCTGACCCAACACCTGAAACTGTGGTAGTGTTGGAGGCTGACCCAACACCTGAAACTGTGGTAGTAATGGAGGCTGACCCAACACCTGAAACTGTGGTAGTGTTGGAAGCTGACCCAACACCTGAAACTGTGGTGGTTTTGGAAGTTGATCCAACATCTGAAACTGTGGTACCATTGGAGGCTGACCCAACACCTGAAACTGTGGTGCCACTGGAGGTTGACCCAACACCTGAAACTGTGGTGGTTTTGGAGGTTGACCCAACACCTGAAACTGTGGTGGTTTTGGAGGTTGACCCAACATCTGAATCTGTGGTACCAATGGAGGTTGACCCAACACCAGAATCCTTATTTTTCTTAGTAGCCGACCCAACACCTGCTCTAGGAGCTTCTTCAGAGGCTGACCCAGCACTTACATCTGAGGCTGACCCAGCTGCTATACTTGGGGCACCTTTGGAAATCGTTGCAGGACCTTCACTTGGAGATCAGTTTCAATTGAGCTCACCGTCTGCAATCGAAATTTCTACAGTACTTGAATCAGAAGGTCCACAGAATGCTGAACCGGAATCTCGTTCTGCAGTCCAACTGGAAGAGGTTCCATCACCTACAACATTAATTGTACAGGAAGTTGAGACAATTCCAGTACCTGGCATCGTGTTGGAACCTGTGGTTGCGGACACAATGGACACTGACACAACACACACATCCGGAGTAACTTTGCAGGGTGACTCAGCACTTGCCTCTACCATCCCAGTGGAGATTGAACTAGTAGCTGAAGCTCCATTACCTCCTGTTCCGACAATTTCATCGGGGTTACACACCAAGTTAGATCCTGCACCTGGGGTCCTGTTGGAGATTGACCCAACACCTGCACCTGAAGTCCTCCTGGAGGTCGGATCAGCAGTTTTATTAGAGAAAACAACAGAAGTAGACCCATCGGTCACTTCAGACGACACGGTGGAAACCGTCCCTGAAGAACGGTTGGAGTCCACTTCTGTATCCCCTCAACAGGCGAGTGAGAGTACAGCCACTCTACCAGCCCCTTCATCGACCACAGAAAGCATAGCCCCTCTGCCAGCCCCTTCGTCAAACACAGAAATAACGACCACAAACAGTACGACGCCTGAAGGCACAGTCCCTGTCAATACGGGCGCGGGGAGCGCGATCACTCACTCCCTGCCCAATCTTTCAGCGCCAACGCCGATCGCCAAGAGCTTGGATTTCCTGCCAGTCAGTCAACCTAAGAAGTTATATCCGGATATGAAACCCCCATCCTCAGGCTTCCTCCATGGCGGCCGCTTTGGCTACGACGACGATTACGAGGACCAGTTCATGCCCTAGTTGTTGTCGCCCTCTGCTGGACGTGTGAAGGAACATATTAACTCATTATATATATATTGCGTTATATAATTCCTTCCTTCTCTACATGTCTGCCGGAAGGAAGTAGTTCTCAATGGTAGTTTAGATTTCTAAATAATTTTACTACTTTGCTCTAAAATTCTCATTCTGATTGTACTATGAAGCGTTCCATACCATATATTTATTAACGTTTTAACAAGTTTTGTAAAATTAAATAAAGTTTGACATATTATTTAGTGGCACTTGAAGAGGGTTATCAAGTGATATGGCAGTTTTATGCCATATATGGTAATAATATTAATTATAATATTAATACTTATAAAATATTTGACTGTTGATATGACTTGTTATATAGGAATATGCTTGTATATATTTTATATTTATTAAAAAATAAAATCTTGAACAAATCCCAGCTTTTGTGTACTTCTTAGTAGATGTCTAGTCTCCTCTTAGGTATTCATATTGGTAATCAACATTCTAAACTATGATATATATAAATCATACTTGGAATTGAAAAATATAGAATAGAAGATCGAGAAAAGAGGGCAGTGTTGAATTCGCTTCAAAATATAATTTTTCATTTTTTCGCATTATATCTCTTTTTATTGAGACAATGTAACCTTCGACAGTGCTTCAATGTTATTCATTTCACGACCCAGTGCTAAGAACAGGTCCACAAATGTATTTTCTGTTCTTGGGACCATCAGAGTAACAGCTGCGCTCGAGTAAAGAACCCTAAATTTATCAAGTGTGAGGACACGCATATCAGTGTCAGAAGGGAAATTAAGAAATTATAAAAATAATGGGCAAAGCGAACCAGCATCAACAACAATAATCACATGAGTTCAACAGCCTCCCTAAACCTTCCTGATCAAGACAACAGCTCGACTAAACGTATCCAAGCTCGACCCCACAATAACCAAATATCTGGTCGTCCAAGACTGCATCAACAAATCCAACAATGCCTCAGACTGCTTCGGCATCAACTAGCAACTCTGCAATAACGGTGCAAGTGGTGCCCACAGTTCCCCCGGAACCAATCAATCATTAGCAGTTCCGGCAACCCTTGGGGGACTCCCTGTGGATCCTAATCATAACAACATAACTAATCAAGGGCTCCGCGCGGGGCGCCCTACCGGACGTATAAACTCATGGACCAACATTTTTTTGTTCAGAACATTGTTCGACTCCAACTTGATACAGGATGTGGGTTTAATAATTAAAACAATTTTAATAATACACTTACACATGTATTAAATCTTTCCTTCAGCCTTCAGTCAAAGACTATGAAAGTGTAGTATGTTTCTTCATTATTATTACTATGATATAATGGCCTGGAGCTAGAGACAGTAAGCGATGTGTAAGCTAGTGTTGGGTGCTGTAGCACAGTGGTCTATGTTCTCTACTTAGTGGAGAATCCAGAGGTTCTGGCCCTCACGCCAGAACAAAACTATAGTAAACGATTTTGTATTATATTTATTCAACACTTAATATCAATAAGCAAAGTGTCAATTATTTATATTTAGGGTAACAGAAGATATAAAAATGTTCGTCACTGTTATATGTATTTTGTTATCATTTGTGTAGAATATGGAGGCACTATGAAGGCACAATTTATGACGCTGGATTACCTATATTAATAATAATATTAATAATAATAATTTTATTTACAAGAAGGTACAATGAGTTGGTGAGATTACATAAGTTTGGTATTTTTACATTCATGCAAAGTCACTAGCACTCATAGCGTTTCAGGCACGTCCTTAATCTAACATATCAAGTAAGATGAAAAGGTACATTGTAGCAAGGTGTTTATATCAACATATAACTGCAATATAAATTGACAGAGGTGATTACACTGTTGAAGATATATGCCTTAAGTACTTATATTGCGGAAATGGGTAGTACAAGATACAAGGTAGGAAACTATGGGGATGAAATTAGGTACTTTTTGGTTTTACTTTTGAATAAGGCATAGGTTGGACAATTGTTTAATTCATTAGGGA